CGACCTCATTTATTTTCATGCATGACACATACTTGTACACAACATTTAATATGATATGGTATCATTCCTCATTATATTACATGACACCTAAGCAAAAAAGCCTAGTTGGCATGCATGATACTACTTATGACTCCCATTGTGAGCAGCATAAGACTCCACCTTTGATGGTGCGTATAACCAACAAACTATTACTTTAGTTTTTAAGTGTGTAGATGGGTTATTATTTAAATGGACTAAACAAGATATTAAGATGGATTGACGGTGGCTAATGGAAAAGCTTAAAACTGTGGCTTGGATATATGGAAACTTCAGGTGATGAATAGACATAGGCGTCCCTATAAAGTTTAGGGGAAGTAAAAGTGGTCTGAAAGATGAATCTAAGTCAACTACTAACTTTATGCCAAGATGCTCCTTCGCACATGAAATTTACGTAAAACAAAGTTCAATACGAGTAATACCAGACTCACCACGGAAGTTGTATTGCAGCTACTTCCAGCAGGATTAATGGTACACTTTCTCAGGAGATAATAACTAATTATACGAATTTTATAAATGTATTCCGACACAACTGTTAATCAACGGTTCTGGCACTTACCTTCAGGTAGCCGGCCTGTCAAGACTATGCACGCAAGTAGACAACAGCTTCTTCCTGCCTGTGTACCGAGTATTCAATACACAACGAGGAGAGGAGAAACAGTTATGGACTGTGTTTTGGGATGGGAGGAATGGACGGTATTGCCAAGTATTTATAGGCAACAGTAGAGCAGGTGGGTGCCGGAGATATAAATTTGCCTAATGCTTTGTCCAGCTTAATTAAGTCACAATTTCTGGCCTTTAAACAATCACGTTTTTGAGGTATCTGATCCTCACAAAAAATAAAAACTGCACTCAACCTCTCGTTTATCTGCATTGCAAATGTTTTCCCTCATGACCGTACAAAATAAACCATTATAATATGTTGCAATAATTCAGTATGGTCATGCTAACTCAAAAATTCTAGACACGAAACAAATCGCCTGTTGGTACCAACAAGAGGATTAAAGTGAGTGGAAATATACACACGACATGAAGTTACACATGGAAAATTCACTACTACAGAAAGGGGCACTACTGACAAAGTAGAATATCACACGGAAACCAACATTTAAAGAAAACTTGGTGGAAACCACGTTCGAATGTTAAAATATGAAAAAAAATACAAGATGTTAAGATGGTGATGTTCTATTGTCCTGCAAAATTCCAAGTTGAAACACATTACGGGATGCGAGCATGAAAAAAAATCAACAAAGAATAATGATCTACTGTTTGGCACTATTATTGCTGATTTTTGTTTTCCATAGGTCACATACCGTAATATATTTGAACTTAGAGTTTTAAATGACAATAGAACATCACCCTCTTAACATACCTTATTGTTTTCCTATTTTTCTAATACTTCAAAATTATTTCCACGTGGTGGTCATCGATCTCCATCGAATGTTGGTTTCCACGTGATATTCTCTTCTCCCTTACCGACAAGCCATTATCTCCTCCAGTGATACGCTCATCGATCAAACTAGTGATTTCTTCCATTGATGATCGCATAGACTCAGTCCGTCAATGGTAATCCCATCCATTGTTAGGCATCTATTAGGGTTCAATTACTCGTATGTACAGTGTTTTGATAGGGCTGCAACTTGCAGTCTTGGCTGTAAAACACTCTACTAGTAGTGCTAGCCCAACTGTAAAAAAAACACTGTCTCATACACATACACATTCCCATTCATCTTACAAGTGAATCACATTTTATATAGTACATCTATTGTATGCAAAAATAGTATATTACATAGGTGGCAACTCTGCTGCAATGGATTGCATCCCCTCGACATACCACCCCCATCCCTCTAATTTACATCGTCGGTGGCCTCCTCTAGGAAAATATCATGTAAGGCTACTCAAGGGAGGGACTATTTACCCTGGTGGAGCGTGGTTGCTCCTGAGAAGGATAGTCACCGTGGTGGGCGGCACCAGGGTCGACAATCATTCCTTGGCTCCAGCGAGGGGTAGAGGCTCTGCTCCTGGTTGCTTTGCGGTATCCTAGAAGTGGGCTAGCACGGTAGCATGGGTGGTAAGCCTGTTTTGGGCCTTAGTGGCCACAACTTTGCATCTAGACATGAAGGCGGCTAGTCGGTGGTGGTGGCGTCAAGGGAGGTAGCAACTTTGTGGCACTTGACCATTGTGAGAATGGTGCACCAATCGAGTCTGGTATCATTGTGGCTAGCTTGTTGTTTGCCCTCGTCATCCCGTGTGAGCTTCTTAGGAAGCTTCAATGGCGCTTGTTCTCACGATAAAAGTTTTGGTCCTGAGTGGCCACAACTTCGTGTGTAGCCATGCTACAACCTCATGATAATTGAAGAGGTATAGGTGTTGGTGATAGCCGAAGAGACTGCATACAACTAGTTGTGACGGCCCTAGCGCCGATGGTGCAGTTCTTGATGGTGGGATGTATCCCTGAAGTCAAGTGGCTTAGTGCTAGAGTGGTGCTACTACAGGTGTAGCGCTTGGAGGACCTGTCGATGCCACTTTGGAGGTGTTTATGTGTGGTGTAGTGGTTCATGTCCAAGGTCGGGTCGATGGGGCTACACCTGGTATAATGCTGGAAGGCTTGGCGGTGGTAACAATGGACTGGTCGATGGTTCCTTTTATAGTGGGTAACTGGGGAAGGCATGATGTACTGCCCCTATGAAAGTTTGTCTTCCATGAATGTCTTGCTGAGCTTGTTGGTGTCGTCGATAGTGCCGCTCTTTGTAGACCCCCCTCCTTGGTGGCATCACCATGAAGCATTGAAACACCTACAACCACTCATGTCCCTTATTCCAGGTGTAAAACCCTAACTCAGCTAGCCAAGTTGGACTATATATAATGGCTTTTTGATGATGTTTCGTTCTTGGAAGCATGCAATTTGTTGTAGTGAACTTGTGGTTTGACATGGGTCCAGTGTTGTAATTTCAGAAGGCGCTAGTTGGTTTATCGTGTGGCCAAGTTGGTTGCAGCGTTATTGCGGAGTAAGGTGGCCTGCCATCCTCAGAGGTTTGTAGTGGCCTAGGACCGCCACCTTCGGTGTTGTCTTATATCTTTGGCGGCTGGAGTGCTCTTATGTAGGGTTTGTTTTGTTCTTGCGGCTATTTTTTGCCCTGTTTGGTGTGGTTTTGTGGCCGTAGGTACCGGTAGCCTTGCTTGGTTTCCTTCTTATTAACCAGGATTTCTTAGGTTTTTGGGCCCAGTTTCTTTATTAATTGGATAGAGTCTCTAAGTTTTGCAATTGAGTTTCCTACAAATAAGACCAAATCTATATTGTTCTTATGGAAATGGCAGGAATCCTCTACAATATCGGGTTCCTAAAAAATTGTCATTGAAACAAAAACAAGCAAGTCATATAGGTTAGAAAATTCCACATTAATAGAACATTACTGACCACGCGATCTAGTGAAACCCGTAAAGCCATATTTCTGTGATATTTTTGATATACATGACATAACACAATGGGCCTCATATGACTTGAATACATGATGAGTTACCAAATATACAATCAGTGTAAAATAGATCTTAGTGCAGATGTGATCAAGAGCTAAATGGCTAGTTAGTTCAAGTGAATCTATCTATGTGTTAGATTATGTTTTGACCGAAAATAGTTGGAAATATCCCCGAACCCTTCTATAGGTAAAAAAGAGTGAATTCCAATTTTTGTATCTCCGACTTTCGATATTTGACGATAATTACCATTTAATAAATTGTCCTTTGAATTACACCATTTAGCAAAGTTTTCCCATTTTCAACATACCCTTGCTTTCAAAGTAAGAGTGGGTGCTACATACAAATCTGAACTCGTTGTGTGAAATAGTTATGAAGGCTAGATATAAACCTAATAAGTTTGTGTTTAATTCTTTAGAAAAAATACGGCATGTCTTATGCTTGGTGAAGTACTCTCCGATGCATTGATCTCCTTAAGCACCGGGTTCTCCAATGAGTTGGCAATGGGAAGGATACTCAGCTCGCCCAATTACTCTGATATGGTCAAACCTTAATAAAGACGAATGACAAGCTGCTTAACTCAGCCGTCGGCTGCTAGACATAAACTTAATTCTGTCGTTTCTGATTTTTTAGATTTTTTATGATCAGGAAGAATGGACATCTTATTTCATGGACAAAGGACATTTTCCAGTAAAATATTTGTGCCATTCATAGAGGTAATTGAATGAAATTGAGAATCCTGCTCAATATGATAACATGATTGGAAGAAACAAGTTCAATTTAAAGGATATCTAGAGAGCTCAGTGCCCACATAAGTGTCATCAATTCATCTGTGGCGTACTTCTCATAACGGTTTCCCTCATAGACAATACTTGTCATCGCTAGAATAAG